TTAGACTGCATGATTGACACAGCCAACTGAACAGAAAGTGAGCTTTCCAGTAGTGTCCCAGCATCATTGCCATGTTTCAGGAAACAAATGAACACAAAATATGTAAAAATCAAGATCTCAATTAGAAGTCCTATTAGGGTATTTAGTGTTAATGTTAAACAAATATTACAGTAACTATTGCTCCTGCCTGCCGAAACTGCTTCAAATACTTCAGTAGTCTTTACATGACTGCCTGCCGAAACTGCTTCAAATACTTGGGGACAATAAGATGTTGAACATGTTGTAGTGAAGTTGTTGGATTAATGCATTCTGAGTACGAGTACAAGTATATGAATGGAGTGTCAAGTCTGAGGCTGATAACAGTTTGAGTTGTGTTGAATTGCCGTTACCAGATACCGGGTTGTTGGATTACTGCATGTTTTCAAGTACCAGTAATTTAACCCTTATGAATATGGAAATGTACCTTTCTATGGTGTTGGTTTCAAACATAGTATCAAAATTCCCTGATTTAAAAAAGTAAATAACGTGCTCTCTGTCCTCTTTACTCTTTTCACTCTAAGAAAGGGGACCGATACAATCAAACCCAAAGGTTGGAGGAACCCTCTGTGTTTCATTGAGTTATTGTTTGAAAGGCTGTCTTATAGTTTGAAATAAGAAGTAGCCATGTATACATTTTTTGAGGTTTTTTTGCAGCATTGTGCTTTGGGGCTTATTACCGCTCAAGAATTGACTTCATCACTATAATGCCCCCCTTATGGAATTCTTATTTTATAGCCAGCCTATCTCACAGTTCTGATGCTGTCAGCTCCCAGGAGGCTCTGCGGCTTGGGTTCCACACTTCCAACATTGACCGCAGGTCTTAATGAAAAATTGTGGCGTCTGCTTCTGCCAATATGACCTGTTTTTCTTCACATTAGTGGGCAGTAGTCTGGAATTCACTATCCTCAATCAATGGCAACGTGCAGCAAGAACAGCCCAGATAATAAACTTAGTGCTAAATACACTCTCCTTTTTTTCAGCAACACAGAGAATAATCGTGGGGAAACGGGGAAGAGGTGTGAAGAATCGAAATCAATAGGTTATTTTATTACTGCAGTGATTTATGAGGCTTTTCTGATTATTTTTCCGCAGAGGAAAATGGTATTTTTATTCTGTCGTCCTTCAACCTAAATTTAGACAAAATAATCAAGAGACCTCCTGCAACGCCGTGATTCATCTGTTTGCACTCCAGCGCCACAGGTGGCATTGATCGGCCCCGAGTGATGGTCTTAGAGATAATTAGACAAAAGTAATAAATATTTGGCCTCATTTTTGGTTGAGAGGATTGTGAACAGAGACACAACACAGCATCACTATCGTTATTCATACTCCGGTGAAAGCGGGCGGTCAAATTGCTTCATTAGAGCTCGTAGACTTAAGGTCGGAAAAATCCATACCAAGCTGGGGTTTTTTTGTTTGCCAACAACTCCTAAGGCAGCACTAATTTACTTTGAAATCTGTCTACATCAGTCAGGGCGGTTGGAAAGGAAAATCTGATGCAGATTTACTCTTACCTGCATCGCTTCATGTTTAAATGTATAAAAACACGGGTTGTGTGTCTATTCACAATAGAGAATAAATACAACATGTATTTGATCGGTAACAGTACAGTTTTCTTCAACTCCCTTCTCTCTGACAAGATATTATTTTGTTCACATTTGGTCTCAAACTGTTTAAAGTGAATAAATATTATTACAGAATACAGACGTAAAGACCTGTGTCCCTGTTGAACCCAGACTTTTTTGACTTTGAGAAGTACGGTATAGTACAAGCATGGGCAAACTAAGGCCAGTGGAAACAGTGGAACCTCAGCATGGGCAAACTAAGGCCCGGGGCCAGTGGAAACAGTGGAACCTCGAGATACAAGCGTCCCGACATACGAGTATTTCGAGATACGAGCAAGCCTTCGAGCAAATCATGCTTGTATCTCAAGGTTCCACGGTACTTTGTCATACTTTGAGTACAGCCAGGATTGAATGCCTTGTTGACTTTTCATCCCGGGCTTGATAAACACATTCTACCGTCTCTGTCTGTCATTTGCTTAGATATTAAGTTGCATTTTATGAGTTTGACACCCCTGGCTTAGATATTAAGTTGCATTGCAATGTTGGGTTGATTGCGCTCCATCCACGATGCATGGATGCACAGTCGAAATAACCTATGAGGTAGTTCCTGCTGTCATTTAGTGGACGGGCGAGTAAGGACACACGCAAACACACTCACAATTGCAGATGGGGAAAAAAAACGTTTTCTTCTGTGAAAAACATGCACGCACACACACACAATTAGCCCTTAACTAATGTGCAGTTAATTGATTTAGCTTATCTCGCACAGATCTAGGATTAATGTTGAAACCCATATCATCAGATACATTTAGATGATGTGGCAAATGGACGGTACTTGCAGAGTGCTTTTGTAGTCTTGATGACGGCTCATGGCCATTTACACTGAGGGGTGTGGTATATAACCTACTCAGTCTGGAATCAAACCCACAACCCCTGTGCATGTTAGACAACCGCACTCTGTGCTCCTTTACAGACACCGTAAACCAGGGGTGTTAAACTCATTTTGGTTCAGGGCTCATCTACCACCTGATTAGATGTCAAGTGGGCCAGACCAGTCCAATCATAACATAATCCATGTTTTCTTCCTTCGTTTTCATGCGAAGTAGAAGTATTTTCAAACATATTCATATTTAATGTAATGTAATTTTGCAAAACACCATGAACATGGAGTGTTTTTTTCATTATTTGGCATTCAAAATCCATCGGGTGGGCTGGACTGAACCCACTGGCGCCCGTGGACCATATGTTTGACACCCCCTGCCATATAGATAATCTGGCATACATTTTCTGTCATGTTGTCCTGAGCCGTTTACTTTTGAATTAATTTAGCTCTTTATTTAGTTGTAACATTTTTGTTTTCCGAATAAAGTCATCATTGTTATTATAAAAAAAATAGGTCATAAATTGAGTGGCGCTTTGGCCCAGAGGCAATGTCTCCGTCATTGGTGTGGAACCCCAGGGTTCCCCTCCTGGGCAAGTTCGAATCCCGGTTAGGGCGGTTGGTACCTTCCAGTGGACTCACCACCCACAGGAAGGTTTGGTACGGTGCAATGTGTTTTGGGTGGCGACTGCTGCCCCCGCGACCCGATAAGCGGATGAAAATGGATGGATGGATGGAGGTCATAAATTGCCTTTGGCATTGGTGTGTATGTGTTTCCATTCACTACACATGTGAATATGTAGTGACGCATTTCTTCTTCCCCACATGCAGCACAACATGGCTCCCTTCACTATTTTCAACAGCCATCTTGGAACTCTTTTTTTTATTCCCGTTACCTCAAACGATGCTTCTCACCACGCATCTGTGAAAACCCGGCGCTACAGTGTTATTAAACACAGGAAACAAAAGGCGCTAGAAAACAACTTTCTTCAACTCTACACCCAGCTCCATTCACACTCCCCTCCTCCTATAGCCTGCCGTCTTTCCTCACCCCCTCCATTTTTCCGTCTCCCCATCGGCACACAACCCCTTTATAGCCCTCCTTTCCATGCTGCGATAATTAGTCAGCGCCAAGATAATACAGCCTTGAGGAAACAACGTGAACTGAGCAGAGGGCTCCGCTGCTCAAGGAGGGAAGGAAGGAAAGGAGGGAGGGCGTGGTGGTGGGGAAGGGGAAGGGAGAGAGGAGCAGTAAGAAAGACAAAAGACAAATGGGAGAGTTTCATTATGTCAGCCCTTTTTCAGATGGTTACCGCTGGATTGTCATATAATGAAAGTGTCAGGAAGCTGACTGAGTGAACGAGCATGTGTGCGTGTGTGTGTGCACGTGTGTGTGCAGAGATCTCATGTCTCCATCGTCTCATTAGCCTGCCTGTTTTTAAATGCATGACTATGAATGTGAGCTGCTTATTGCTCTGGCTGTTGCTCCGTGGCCAGTTGACCCAGCCTGGGATTTTCAAGCTCTCTGATTGGAGCACTCTTTAACTGAGCTCTAATGTACACTGTGCTGTGTTTCTCATGTACTCTTATGGGTGAACATTGTTTTGTTATTATCTCATGATTTCGAGTCCTGATTGTGACACACTATTTGATATACTAAAAAAAAAAGTCCTGATTGTGACACACTATTTGATATAATAAAAAAAAAGAAATAGACAGATGCCTGAATACAAGGCAATGGACAATTCAACTTAACATAAAATTACATAAAAATTACATTATTACATTACATTATTTTTCAATGTGTCATCCATCAAAGCAGATTAAAAAAAAACATCTCATACTGCATGACCAGTGAGCCTTACCGAAATCCCTGGACATAATTGAAAAAGAGCTCAAGCAGCACTGTGTACATTTTGCGCGGCTTCGCCACGTCACGTGTCCATGCTTCGGTAAACATGATGCCCGCATTGATATATTGGATCGCACAGCATTTAGCTGGTAGGAAAGACAGACGGCTCACATTGGTTTTATTACTCTATGCTAATCACAGCCCACGCCCGTCAGTTCACATTCCCCACAGGGCTAATCAGAGCGAGCCAGGTAGCCTTGCTTCTGTGTTCCACTTCTAACAACATAAAAATCACTCTTTTTTTGGGTTTTTTTTTATTTGTTTGTTTACCCTGTTACCTGTGGAGGGGAGGCTAAAAATGAAAAAAAAAATAAAAAATTGAGAGAGTTTCTTTGACAGGGAGAACTGAAGACTCAGTGTCATAAATGTTAAGGGGCTCCGGTTTACACTGGCAGAACAGTCAAAGTTGTCACTTCGCCCTAAATGCAACGCAGCTGCAGGGAGACTAGTGCAACGGCTACAGCAGTGGTTTGGCAGATAAATGTGTCGGAGAAATGACAGCGATCATTATTAAAAGCACTGCTGCTAATACTGATTTATTGCCAATGTTTGACTTCATGGTTCATTAACAGTTCTTTAACTTTGGTGTTTTTTTTTTCTGCAGCTGGGACAACTTACATCTTCGGAAGAGGCGGAGCCCTCATCACATATACCTGGCCGCCCAATGACCGGCCGAGTACACGGGCAGACCGGCTGGCAGTGGGCTTCAGCACTCAGCTGAAGGAGGCCATTCTGGTCAGAGTGGAGAGTGCCAAGGGACTGGGAGACTACTTGGAGCTGCACATAGTAAGATACTGAATTTTAGGTTTTTTTTAAAGAGGGGTGGGAAATGAAATGGTGGGATGCTACGGCGCTAGCATTGCTACAAACAGCAAATTCAATGTTGTTAACTGGTTTGAAAAAATAGAAAAGTCTTTTCAAACTAAGGGTGATCGACAGAGGATGGAAGGAATTCATGATCAAAATAGGACAAAAGTCATATTCTTTTCAAGGTACCTGTTAGAATTTAGTGATATTTCATTTAAAATGTTCACAAAACCTGGAACATGAACACCTAATTTAATTAATTTAATTTAATTAATGAACACGTTCAAAATGACAAAATCCCTAAAAAGCTCAATTTATAGCAGAAACATATTTCTTCTACATTCTCCCTGCATTATGGCTAAATGCAAAGCTAATGCTACTAGCCAATCAAAATTATATGTCACCTTAAAGCAGCTCACCCAGTTAGCAGTGATAATTAAAAGAACATGACACTGATGAAGAAAGAAAATGAACATGTCTACGAAGATTCTCAGTCATTCAACGAAAATGAAGAAACCTAGAAGAAAGTAAACACTAATTGTGAGAAGAAATAAGGTTTCCCTGTGGATCACGTCCTCTAATTACACTTTTTAATTGTTCGGAAACTAAGGATACCAATGGAGGACAGTTTAGCTCACGCTCTCTTGCGTGCTTTACTGGTTTCTGGAAAAAAAGACAACAACTATGTTTCACTTGTGCCCCATTTAAAACCAAGAGCCAACACAACAGCTTTTTTTAACTCCATCTCCATCACTACAACTTAAACACAATTAACATATTTGACTGTGAGATTTTTGATACATAACAGCATTAAAGTTAGATAATCATGACAATTCATTTAATATTAACAGGAATAGTTTCAGTGATACCTTTGCACAGTATCACAGCCAAAGCTCAGGTTCATTTCTGTAACAGTTATTAACCAACCAAGACTGTGGTCCGGTCATTATGTAGCACGAGTCGCTCATTTAAACCCGGCATGACGCTAAAAACACAGCAATAGCATTTCACAGCTGTTGGCGGAGATGTGTGCCGATAAGAAACGGTCACTCTTATCTACACACAAGTGTGTGCTTGTCTGTGTGTGACTCTGTATGGTACCGCTGCTCTGATATCCCAGTGACCCCAATTTGTTTGGACCAGCGGTGCCTGGAAGCGACAGGAACATAGTTGACCCCGGGTCACATCTCATCCAGTGATCTGTACACTGAGAGCTGGAGAAAGGACGCAATGATGGTGAAACAGCAGCAGTAGGTAAAACAGCGATCTAGGGGAAATATAACGATTGCAGAATTGCTACAGCGGAGTTGCTGTTGTTTATTAACAGCAACTTCAGTATTTGTCTGATAGTTCAAGACAAACCACAGACCTGCAAAGTTTTTTTTCCTCCTCACTTTTTTTTGGCAGCACCTACTGTGAAATAGCCTGAAGAATGAAACAGTGTTTCTGGAATGAGATGTCACTATTACATTTTTAAAAACTGAATTTCTGTGGTGTGAATTTTGCAAACAAAACACTGTACCATTTCCCTCCATCCTCCAGGGGTAGTGTGAGAACTTTAGAAAATAGAATCGAGTCTCAGCAAAACTTTGCAAAGAACTTTTTTTTTTTCATTGCTGACATCTTTATACTTTGACTGAACATTACATATTATAAGTCAACCTTTTCCCCCCTGTTTTTTGAACTCATTTAAAGTATTGATACCAATTTAGCAGCCGCTTATCTAATTCTGCATTTTCTCTGAAGCGCCGCCGTCTTCCTCGTGGGTTTTTCGTTTCTCCCGTACGCCCTCGCCTCTTGCCTCTTAATTTTTCCCTCTCCCCGTTTCAGACACCAATCTTTGCCACACCGGCTGAGCTCCACTACTCCCACTGCAATTACATTTCATTTGCCGCCACTCCTCCCGTATCGCTCCAATAAATGACTCTGTTCAGCCTGTGGTGGGTGTTTGGCTCCCGTTAATTATTCTTGTCTCTCGTTCGAGGTCAAAAGTACAGGCAAATTAGACCTGAGCACCCGGGAGCCACGGCCCTGTATCATTGCAGATGATGAGGGAGGGGGCCTCACGGACTCAATCAAACTATCAAATAGGTCTTCAAACAAACAGTGTCAGTAGCCCCGAGGTCCCAAACCTGGGGCCCCCTTTGTGAGCCTCGGCTAACGGCTGCCAAACAATTTTCAACTTATCGCATAGTGATGGAAAAATTAAAAATAGTGAGTGATTCCATGGACGTCCTAATGAAGTAACATTCATTCTAATGGATGTTTGCATGGATGGCAGGCATTGGCGAACTATGGTCTGGGGGCAGGTTACGGCCCATTAGGCTTGGTAATCCGACCCATTGAAGAAAATTGTTATTAAATCATATCATCGCTAGACTTTCTTAGACTGTCATTTTGGCTTTCGTTGCTTACGTCTCCATTTTCTCAATAGATGGCGCTGACCCAGAGGTGATGAGTATCACTTGACTGTTTCGCTTGGTCTTTATTTGAACTTCTAACCCTTCAGTAAAAATAAATGGGTCATAGAAAATAAAAATGCACAGTGAATGCTGAGTTTTTAATAAGTGGGTTTTTAATAAAATAAATGGGTCATAGAAAATAAAACTGGACAGTGAATGCTGAGTTTTTAATAAGGAGTGGAATAGTGGCTTAGTGTCATCTTAGTTTACATGAAAACTCTATCTACCTGCTCTTGGCCCACCCCTCAGTGCAATTTTAGAACCCCCTGTAGCCCGTAAGTCAAAATGGTCGCCTACTCCTGCCCTAAGGTCACATGCTTTGCTTTTAATTTGAAGCAATTGCTGATGGACGGCCATTTTTGCGTAGAAGAAGAATTCTACTCACTGCTGATATTAACAAGTCACTGAAGATTTGGTGGTGGAATATAGTTTATGTTTCACAAACCCATCCATCTCTCTAACCTTTCCACCAACCCTGTACCACCACCATTACAACCCTCCTTCCATTACTAGACAGAGGGCAGCACATCACTCACTACATCCTCCTGATATGCTGTCATCTGGTGCTGAGGTTGGAGATGTAAAGCTGGGGTTGTTGGACAAGGTGCCTCTGCTGAATCTGCTGAGCGTAAATGCTTTCTAAAAGGACAACCGTGTCCTGACAAGACCCTGTTTCTTTGCCGCCTCCCTAATTATTTACTGTGGACGTGTCTGAAAGTGCTGCAGACTTTCTAGCTGACATTTGGAGACTTCTCGATGAGAAAAGGTTTAAAATTCATTATCTGGAAAATGCCATAAGAGTGAGTCACCGCCAAGCAGACAAAACATGACTCGGCACATTGCTGTAAGTTTATTTGTCATCTGGGTCAGGGGATATCAATCAATAGTGAAAACCCAATGGAGAAACCTGGGTCTTCTGTGTGGTTTTATATACAGTGGAACCTCGGTTGTCGAACGCCTCCCTTTTCGAACAATTAAATTCATAAACAAGATTTTTAAACAAATATTGCCTCAGTTGTCGTACTATAACTTGGTTGCTGAACAAGAGACAATACCACGCAAGCAGCAAGTGATCACTGAGTGACTGAGTGTGTGGGATACACATGCTAAGAACTGTTGTCTGATTTTGCTGGTATTTCTTGCGCTGTTCTATTTCTTCTAATTTTATTTTATTTCATAAATCACGATGGGAAAGAAAAGTAGTGAGAACAACAACAGAAGTGAAGAGAGATTATAGGAAAGCATGAGAACAAGGCTCGTGTTTCAGATCTGCCTTTACAGTATGGCCTAGCATGGTCGTTGATTTGTGCCATCATTAAGAACAAGGAAGCAATAAAAGAAGCTAAGGTTGTCAAAGGAGTGACTGTGATCACCAAGCAAAGATCTCAGACATTAGAAGAAGTTAAAAGTTGCAACTGATTTGGATCAATAGCAACAGTTTGCCGGTGACAGTATTTCGGAGACAAGACAGAATAATTGCGAACATTGTGCAATCACGACTCCTCAGCTCCAGTAAAGATGCATGAAATTGCCTGTCCTATTTTTAGCTTTATTCAGTTGTGTTTATCGTTTTGTTATATATCTAGTTATTTTCATCAACTGTTGAAAAAGTTTGAATAATCAATTATCCAGGGTCCAGGAACGGATTAATCCATTTTACATTAATTCCTATGGGGAAAATTGTTTCAGTTTTTGAACTTTCAGGTTCACGAACAGCCTTCGAGAAGAAATTAAGTCCAAAAACCGAGGTTCCACTGCATTTAGTTTATTGAGCACATTTCAATACGTTTGCCTTCCTTCTGCTTAAAATACATTCTGTTAGATGATGAAAAAGGTGTTTAAGTGCCATTTCGTCCTGGCCTAATTGCCCGTGTCCCTCTCCTGCTGGATCTACTGCTGTCAGAGGCTTCATTTTGCACAATGGCACTGAGGTAAACTAATTTAGGCGACCACATTACATTTCTGCATCCCTAACTGAAAAGTCTTCCGTTTAAATTATGCATAATAAAGGCAGAAGATTTGTCCCTTTAACGGGAATTAATAGAAATCACCCAGAGGTTCTTTACTTTATGCCAAAGCGTTACGCCATGCTTTGTTAATTCTTTCGCTGTTTTTATGAAGCTGTTTTTACTCAAAGCAATAAAAGAGCAGGAGCAGAGCAGCAAATCAGGGTTATGTTATGCACACAGGAATGAATCATTAATAATGAAAGCAACAAGTAACCGGGATGTTCTCGTCATGAGCTACTCATAAACTCTTCATGAAAAAACTAACAAACAAGGTAGTAGCTGTTTCAATGCTTGTCTTTTTTTTTTTTTTTTTTTGAGGGGGGGGATTTCAGACGTGTCTGTTTGTATTTATTGCCACTCTCGCAGGCACGGCTCACCTTTGGCACTCATTACATTTACAGTTGGCAAGATGTCCCACTAACTGCTCTGTGGGAAGTGTCTATACTGCAGTCATGGGCCAGTGCACGGCACACAGCGCTCCTCCCCTGAATGTCTCCATCACTGGCTG